ATTGACTGCTTCGAAATACATATTAAATCGCCAAATTCTAGAGCCATGATTGCTAGAGCCAACGTGTTTTCTAATTATAAAAAGCACAACACTGTCAAAGTGTTGATCGGAGTCAGCGCATCTGGATCCATATTGTATGTATCTGAAGCCTTTGGCGGTCGAACTTTGGACAACGAAATCGTGAAATCTTCTGGATTTTTTAACCATATTGCTTATCCAGCTTTCAAGAAAAAAAAACCAACAGCTACAACCATTTGAAAAGTTCTTAGTGTTGATGGACACCATTCCATAACAATGCTGCAGCACTGGAACAACGAGACTCCCACGATCGATCAAATACTAGTCATAGCTGCAGCCCTGGTAAACTTATGCCCTAGTGTTGTTCCTTCTCTTTGCGATGTTTTATTCTTGTTAAATAAAGTGATTTTTATATTGTTTGTTTTAATTATTTAATATATTATATTATTAATAAATTCGTAAATTTCTTACCAACCAATTCAGGAAAAATAACATGTTTGAAAAAATCTATCGCCGTGTTTTTACAGTACGACCAAAAATCGTCGTTGCGTTTAATTGCGAACAGCAAAACCTGATGAGGAGGACCACACGTAAAAATATCCAAAATTTGCCTTATAAGAATGTAATGCAATTAAAATAAGAAAAATAAAAACCTCATCACGTGTCGGGCATTTCTGTCAATCGGTTGCGTTCTTAACGATTTTCTAAGAAAATCTCTCGGATTTACTTCCAGTTGTTAAGCGTATTTAAGTGATTTTTGCTAGTAGTTTCCTGAAGGTCGATCGGAAGGGTAAGTGTTTATCGTTTTATATCTCAATTCTAAGCAATGGATCATTCATATGGTATTTATTTATCCAAATTATTACTGTGCGGATTTCGATCCATATATAACAGTTGATTCTAAATCCGTACACTTGTGCATTAACAATAACGATTCTACTTTATCCAATGTTTTTCAGCAGATCATGGAAGCTAAATACACGCCGGAGGATTTGGAGAAGACCGTGACAATGATGCGTGCGGGGAAATCTTACCGAGAAGCATCCAGGGATTTTGCCGTTCCATTCACCACCATAAGAGATGCCTATTGAATCGCTAAAACTCTCTCATTTTATTCGTATTGTTAATGTTATATTATTAATATCTTTTAATGAAGAGCGTCAAGAACCAGCCGAAAAGTAAAACAACGCAGCTCCCCTACAAGATATCACCAACACGCATATACAAATTAGGGAACATTCATAAATGACGTAGCATTTGATGGGGGGAGGTGGGGTTTCAGAATTTGTGACCGGCCATGCATTGGATATAGCCAAATACGTTACGAGGGGGGAGGAGGAGTCTAAAATTGATCAAAAATATGCTACGTCATTGTTGGATGCTCCTTACAGAGAGCAGACAGAAATGGGCAAGAGAGCATTCCCAGTAGTAGCTACCAGCGAGGAATGACCGGAAATACACATGAAAGTAGAGTGGACGAAAATTGATAAAGAGAACGCAAAGAAACAAAGGATTGAGGAACGACAAAAGAAAAAAGGTTGAGCGAGAGAGGAAGAGGAGGAAGAAAAGGAAGAAGAGAAAAGAAAGTTGGAAGCGGGGAGAAGAAGCAGAATAAAGCTGCGGAAAAGAAGCAATGAAAGTTCTGCAGTTTTATGATTATTACCACCAGTAAACGGGTTGGGATCCAAAACCAGAAACTGGTAGATGTTGGCAAATGTTATCATTAACGGCACTTCTTGCGGTGTCGTTTGTAATGTTGACGGGTCGATACCGTAGCACATTCCAATTTCCGACGATATCTTTGTGCTGCAGCTTCACAATCCTTGAAATTAATAGTTTTTGCTTTAAATAAAAACAAACTAAATATAAATTTGATTTCCTACCATTTTTCTAAAGTGGACTTGACAGCGATTTGTTTTTTTTTTTTATTTTCCATCAGTAGAACATATGTAGTAGTGAAATCGCTTACTAATACTAAAGGGGACAGAGAAGTCTATGGGAATGGTAGGAAGCCATTTGGAAGTGCATGAAAATTTTCATTTTTTATTCATTATCTTTATGGGCAGTTTTAGATGCACAAAAATTGCATGTGTACATTACGATGGTGATAAGGTAAACACTCGTTTATTTGTTTTTTTTTTTTTCTGTGAAAGCATGTTTATACCCTGGACAGACTATGGCTTATATCATGTAATATAGGCTGTCTTGCAATGAGCACGCATACATCTAGTTTCATTGGAAATCCTATGTATGAGTGCTCATTGCAAGACAGTCTATATAACATGATATAAGCCATAGTCTGTCCAGGGCATTAGTCACAAATCGTGGATTTTCTGATATTCTCCATACTGCAAAAATGATTTTCCTACCACTGAAGGGGCGACATCTCTCGGATCTTCAGTATAGCTACTACTCAAATCATATAAATAATTGTCATCCTGGACGAGGGTTACAACGTTTATTTTTAATACGAATATTTCTAAAATAAACGTAGGATGATTTTTATTTTAAACATTGATGTCACATGACTTAATTCATAAAATACGTTTGAAATCAATCAAATCTATTTTTGTGGCCAGAACAAACTGAGTTTACGTGTATATTTACCTCAAATATTTTTATTTCGATAATGTTGTTTTCTGCGTAAAAATTTGACCATTTTGCCCGAGGGGGACAACTCTATCTACGATGCAGAAAAGATTGTGTTTTGCTGTGGCTAGCTGCACGCACGCTGAGTAGATAAAAGGGAGATTTATGTCGATTTTGAAGATTTCCTGCAAAAAGATGAAGCACGATGCAAGTAGATGCGAGAATTTAAAGATGATTTTTCGAAGATTGATTCGCTAGTGTGAGATTTTTTTAGCATCTAGAATTGAGATTTAGATGTGTCGCCCCCCCTCGATTTTGCTGGAGATTCCGGATATCCAGAGGACCGTTTTCTGGCCACCCAGTAATAAAATCGATATGATGATGGCATATTTCCTCTATGTTCATGATTGCATGCAAATTAGACAAAATCTTGGATCTCCAGGTCTACTTTCAGGAATTGACCATTTTCCCTGTGATTAAGGATATCCTTCTTCTTCTTCTTCGCATTTCAAGTTATTGCATATCGCATATTAGCTTATTGCGTGCTCTCAACTTAGTGTTCTAGAGACACTTCCACAGTTATTAATTGAGAGCTTTCGATGCCTGTACCATTTTTGCATTAATATAATTGCGTGACAAGTCCAATCATACTTCTATGCCCAGGGAAGTCTAGAAATTTTCCAACTCGAAAAATTCCTAGACCGGACCGGGAATCGAACCCAGCCACCTCCAGCATGGTCTTGCTTTGTAGCTGCACCTTTACCGACTGAGCTAAGGGAGACCTCGGATATCCAGAGGACCGTTTTCTTGCCACTCGGTATATAATGAAGGCATATTTCCCTATGCTCATGTTTGTATGCAATCTAGAAAAAATCGCGAATCTCTAGATCTACTTCCAGGAATTGAATCCGAATTTGCGCAGAGCCACCTCTGACAAATTTTCTAATTCCGACTGACCAACCACATGTCCAATCGGTTCCTTGTGTGTTCCGTTTGATAGTAGATAGTCAATATTAAAGTTTGGTAATCAAATTTCCGAAAACTAGTCATGTCAACATGAATCGATACGCATTGTGCTCGGCACTCTTCCGGGTTTTTTTTCCGTTCCGGTACAATCGGGTTTCCAAATGAAACTAGATAGCCATACCTTTTGAATGGTAGCTGAATCATTACGATTTAACATCGCAGTAAATGGAAGTTTTTATACGCTTGTATTTTTTTTTTAACATTATTAGAGAGATTTTTAGCCGTTGGCTTGTTCATCTCTATATTATATGCTTGCACCTTTGAGGTTTATATGCTTGTACCTGAAAGTAGAAATATCAAAAATCTTCTTCTTTCCTTTATTTAACGTCGGTCTCTGTTCCGCAATCTAGTGTCAATCCATTGACGGCAATCGAATGTGCAGGAAGGCAGCTTCCACACCTGCGTAGGATATCGCACCCATTCAACATACCGGGCCGGGACCAACGGCTTTACTTCCCTTCCGAAGGAAGACGTGACCAGAGATTTTTATGCTTCAGAAAAATCCCACCGACCTCGGCTGGGATTGAACCCAGATCCATTGGGGTGTTAGAAAGCGAAATATCAAAAATATTCAAGTTGCCTTTCTATTTTATTTTATTTGTGTTTGGAAGGGTACAAGCTCATTGTATGTAAGATGATGAATCATCAATTAAGCAATAAGTTGATTATGTTTTAGAGCATTTATTTCAATGATGTTTCAAATGATTTTTGGTGTCCTAATGTTGTTTTTGGCTTGCCTAGATTGTGTAAAGTGTTTGTGCTATACATCCGGATGAAGAGTGTGCAGATAAATTGTTTGGAATTTTGATACACACTAGTGCGATAGTAAAATTTCAGGGTCCGATGAGTTTTAGAACCTTAAACAAAGTACAATTATAAGGAATGTTTTTTTGTCACATAATAGCATATAAATCTTATTTTACTTCGTAACCGTAAATACAGAGGCTGATTGTGCGTTAGATAGTGTATTGGCAGCAGTGTCTTCATCAGCGATACCCTCAATATCTTCACGCTCTTCCTCTTCGTCAATAATACTGATGTCGTGTAGTGATGGTCGATGACTTCTTCGCCAGCCTAAAAGATTAAGAAAATCCTGGATTTAGTCACAGACATTATTTGGTTTTGAAATATTACCTTCTGGTGGCTCCAGCATCGGTTTCGTCTTTTTCAACAGTTTAGTACCGCTTATTGATATTAGTAACGCTCCCAGTGGAGCGGAAAGTATAATGCTAAGAATGCAGAAATTTTTAACTAGCTCTGCGTAGTGTTTCTCGTCTTCTGATCGATGTTGCGATGAAACCGCTTTAAGAGCGACTGGTCCAAGAGCTGCCTGCACAGTTGCTTTTGACATCCAGGAAATAGCCACAAAAATCTGCAAGCATACCATAGATTAGCATTACTCCTTCGTAAAGTGTAATTATTCAAAGGCACTGACGTTTAGCAAAGCAAATTTCCAAAATTTTATACCATCTATCAAGATACATTAAAAACTGTTAAGGTTATTCCCTGTAGCGTCCTGTTTTCGTGTTACACTTCGCGATTTCACATGTACAAAAAATAAGGTTTCTGTGAATACGTGGCTTAAACTACTACTTGTTGTTTGCTGCGGAGAATTAAATTGCGAGGTGTGATGGAAAAACGGACTCTACGAGGAAACACATTTACGCCTCGCAATTTTAAGAGCACACATCTTAAGATCTACGAGGTGTATACATCTGAAAATTTCAAACATTCCTTGCTTCTCCGCAGCAAACAACAAGTAGTAGTTTTAGCTACGTACATTCACAGAAACCTTATAATTTTTACATGTGAAATTGCAAAGTGTGACTCGAAAAAGGAATCACCTTGAAGCAAACCTATGTCTTGTTAAGACTACAGAGTTATAACATATTATAATAATTAATCGACAAGAAAAATGTTATCAAGTTAGCTTTTTCACGCCTGGTTGTATTGGGGCGCTGTGTGAAACTTTGGTAGTGAAAATCCGAGGAAAATACATAAGAAATCGCTGTGAATCTCATTGTGGCCTTTTTGAAATAGGATATGTTTGGTTGATGCATATTATTAGGGTAATTATGGTTGATGCATATATTATGTCACGCTCAAGGGGGGGTGGGGGTCTAAGATTTTGTGACAAGCAATGCATTAGGTATAGGAAAAACGTCACAATGGGGGGGGGGGGGGGTAAATTTATCCTCGATTTAGCGTGACATAATTAATGCATGGGCCCTTAGATACATTTTGAGGTTAGTCCGAGGAAAATAATAAATAAATTTAAACGACGATAGACCCCCGTTAGTGTGCGAGCGGTAAACGTCACTAATCTCTATAACATGTTATAACTGCTCATAACCCGTTCACATTACAGCGTATATCACGTGATATACACTGTCTTGCAATGAACACTCTTACATCTAGTTTTCACTGGAAATCCTATGTATGAGTGCTCATTGCAAGACAGCCTATATTACGTGATATAGGCTGTAATGTGAACGGGGTATGATCAGTCTGAACATAGTATTAAGGCTCTGAACCATTTGGTGGATTATTTTAGCTTTTGGTTAAAATTTGACAGATGAAAAGTTATCGATTAACCCTGCTATCCGAGCGTGGTTACTTCTGACAGACAAGAAGTTAAATTTTGACGACCGTGGCTCGAAAACCGGTCGATCGACAGCACGGGGATTTTCGAACATAAGAAATAACTTTCGAAATGTCACTTTTAACCACGAGTTAAATTTAACTCGGCAAATGGTTCACAGCCTAAGGCTCCGAACCATTTGGTGGATTATTTCAACTTTTAGTTAAAATTTGACAGATGAAAAGTTATCGATTAATCCTGCTATCCGAGCGTGGTTATTTCTGACAGACAAGAAGTTAAATTTTGACAACCTTGGATAAGTTCTTCTCGAAAACCGGTCGATCGACAGCACAGGGATTTTCGAACATAGAAAATAGCTTGCAAAATGTCACTTTTAACCACGAGTTAAATTTAACTCGGCAAATGGTTCACAGCCTAAGAGGCTGTTCATTAACTAAATACGTAGACAGTTAAGGCATGGTATAAGTTTCCTACAAAGAAAAAGAATGAACTCTTGGACTCTTGGATGAAATGGACTCTGGAAAATGTCAAGTTGCATGAAGTATGAAAAAAAGATTCTGTCAACCGTGTCCTTAGGCTGTGAACCATTTGCCGAGTTAAATTTAACTCGTGGTTAAAAGTGACATTTCAAAAGTTATTCTCTATCTTCGAAAATCCCTGTGCTGTCGATCGACCGGTTTTCGAGAAGAACTCACCCACGGTTATCAAAATTTAACTTCTTGTCTGTCAGAAATAACCACGCTTGGATAGCAGGGTTAATCGATAACTTTCCATTTGTCAAATTTTAACCAAAAGTTAAGAAAATCCACCAAATGGTTCAGAGACTGTGACCTTAGACTGTGGACCATTTGCCGTGTTAAATTAAACTCGTTGTTAAAAGTGACATTTCGAAAGTTATCCTCTATGTTCGAAAATCCCTGTGCTGTCAATCGACCGGTTTTCGGGAAGAACTCAACCACGATTGTCAAAATTTAACTTCTTGTCTGTCAGAAATAACTACGCTCGGATAGCAGGGTTAATCGATAACTTTCCATCTGTCAAATTTTAACCAAAAGTTAAAATAATCAACCAAATGGTTCTGAGCCTTAATTGAGAGTTAAACATGTTTTCACGAGGATCCCGAAGTTACCTTTTCTTTGACGTTTAATTTGTCTCCAAATGCAATGCCAACAGTTACAGCAATTCGGACGATTATACACAAATATATGCAGCCAGTCCCTATGGCTACCATGTGGGGATCTAGTTCACGTATCTGGAATTAGATTTGAAAGTGAATGTGTGGAATAAGATATTTACCTTTAAAGCTACCTTGATTGAAGCACCGGTTATTCCAAACAGTATGGGTTCAAAAATCATCCAGAAAATTTCAAATGCCGTTGATACAGGATTGTCTTCAAGGTCCCATCCTTCTCCGCACCAAAAACACGAAGCGGTAAAAGCTGCGAAAACAACAGCAAGGGGACCGGCTCCTTCAAAGTGTATTTTCTCACTTCCAAATACTGCCAGTAATCCTCCACCAAATAGCATCAATGTACGAATAGGAATTACATAAGCGTCTCCTTTTTCTGGAATGTATTTACACAAGAAACCCCAAAACACACCGAATCCTAGTCCACCAAAAACGCAAACTGGTGCTTGTGCAATTTGGAACGCTAAGCCTTGCGAGGTGAACATAATGCTAGAAATGATGCCAAAGACGGCAACGGAAGCTGCATCGTCGATACCGGCTACAGCAATGATTAGTGTTGGAATTCCCTTGGCAACACCGTATCCTTTGGTTCTCAATCTGAATAGGCAAGGTACTACTACAGCTGGGGACACTGCGGCGATAATTGAACCTAACATCATACCCCACATCCATGGTAGATCAAGTAGATAATGCGTCAATACTCCGATTAATACGAATTCTACAGTCCAAGGAATAAGACCCAGCTTCAGAATGGTGACGTACACTTTTTTAAATGCTTTAGGATCCATTTCTAGCCCAGCGCGGGTCAGAATGATGACCAGTGCAAATTTCCGAAGCTCTGCGGTAACTTTGGTGAATTCCCCATCTAGGTTTACCCACCCGACATTCTGTAATAACACATTTTGGGATATTAATTACTCTACATTAAACTATTTAGTATAACTTGACTACCTGAAATAATAAACCAACCAGTAACATGCCAATAAGTCGTGGAAGCGTTGTTAGCGATATGAGAAATCCTCCGAAGTTTGCTGCTACGGTTAACACCGCTAATTGAAATAGTTGGCCGCCTGGCGCTGCAGAATCGCCTATAATGACGTAGGCTGTTGTCCATAGCAATAATCCTGAAATTAAATTAGGCAGATCAAGTTCATCTATATATATAAAAAAATGAATTTCTGCCTGTCTGTCTGCTGACAAATAGACGTAACTCTTCATTCTGGATCATCGTTTGCGCATTTAACTATTGGTTTAAATGTTATCGTTTTCGCGAACTACTCGCCGCAGCGCTGGCATCGGATCACTTTGACGTTTCTATATATTCGATTTTTCTTGCATACAACATTGTTTGCGAATCAGCGAGCAAGCTTTTTCCCAGGGCTGCAAGTCTCCTTAATAAATATATAAAAAAAGCTTTTTTCCACGGGAAGCCCACGAGATGTCGTTGGTGAAGTCCTATGTTTGGCGGTTCTATGTTTTGAAGATTATTTTATTCAGAAATTTCTGCATAACTCGAGAACTATTTAGTCAAGCAGATGGAACCAAATTTGTCATGTGGAGGTATAAGGAGGTGGTCATAGGGAGTAGCTCCTTAGATAAGAGGGGGGGGGGGGAGCTACGTACAATATAACATTTTTTTTTAATCGGCGCATAAACTCAAGCTTATATTAAATCCCGAGCAAGGCCGGACACACTCTGCTAGGTATCTATAAGCGTTTATTAGTGGAGAATGAATTTTTCAACTTGCTTTCTTGGTAGGTATGGCTTTCAGTCATGTCAAAAAGAAAACGTGAGTCTCTACTAAAATCTTAAGCATTTTACTATACCAAGATTATAAATTATAATTACAGTAATTAATAATTTACTGCGACAAACATGGTTCATCCACAAATTATGTAGGCATTTTTGAGTGATACTTATACATGCTTATACCATATAGTTAACTGTAAGACCAGAAGGTCCCGAAGAAACTTGCTCAACTTTCCTTTTCGAAATATTTCCTGCCTCAAAGATAGAGGCAACTCCCTCGAGTTGAGAAAATTTTAATTTTTTTAGAACTTGTACAATGGCGTGCTGACGCTCAAGCTGCCCAAAGGAGTTGAGATCTTTGGCTTTGCGGAAGATGTCGCACACTGGGGCAGATCAGTGATTTTCTCGGAAAAAATTAATAACTTTTGAACGAAGCATCCAATCAGAATACTGTTTTCAGTAAAGTTGTTTGTATTAGTTAAACGCTTCTTCTGAATAAATTAATTAGTTCGCAACTTGGTCGTAGAGATGGCGCGCGAATCTAACTTTTGAATAAAGCATCCTAGACGTATGGTGTTTTCAACAAAGTTTTTTATCTATTAAAATGAAGGAAAGTTGCAGAAGACATAAAACTTCCATAACCTTTAGTTTCGGAGATATAGGGTATATTGAAAAATATGATGTCAAAATTCGTATTTCTTAACTTTTTTGTATATTTTCATATGTTTGCTCTGGTTTCTGCATTTATTCCAACGAAAACAAACTAGGTGCGAATTTTCATTGAACTGTTTGTGGAATTTATAGTGGTTTTAGTGAAATATTCTCGAAAAACATGATATTTTGCCTCTATTTTAGGTGGGTGGGATTCTCGAAAGGGCAGCTAAGGGCAGCTGGACTTTGTCTCTTTTGCTAGCTCATGTCATTGTCTAACATACACCAGAAAACTGAAGACATGATATTCGATGATTTTTTTTAATTTCACTTTATATATACCGATAAAAACATCCTTTACATTGAAATGAACTGTTTCACATAATGAAAAACATTATATAAATTTTTGACATGTCACCATTTTTAAATGCTGTGCTGAATTTTGAGATTGTTTACTTATTATGAGCTGCCAGCGAACCAGGGGCCTGGCTGGTGGCCATGTTTTTGATGCTATCATCTGTTTTTGACTCTCTGCTTAATACACGATTATCCGTCCCTTTCCACCATGTATACGTCAGCTCAATCAGCTGCATTACCCAGGTATAGTTGTATATGTGACATCATCGCTGTGTGCTGCCGTGCCAACGTGATCGTGTACAACGCAGGGCGTCACAATATCAGCTTCAATCGACCAAATAGATGCGACGAAGAGACTGCTGGCTTTCTTTTTCTGTTAAAGTCGAACAGCTTCGCAGCATTCTAGAACCTCAGTCGGCGTGCACAAACAAATGTTCAATCGCTTGTCTCTCTTTCTCCCGTCGCTCCATTGGTCTTCCTTTCAAGCTTCGTCGAAATGGATGAGCGAAAGAACGCTCGAGTTTGATAGTTTTCTCTTTCATGAAACACATCAACAGAGGTTTCATGACGTATATGACGGAAAATGAAATAACACATTTAAAGCATTTCTCACGTCAAAACACTTGAAGATTACACGTCATATTTCTAATTTATCTTCCATCCATATATTTATCTAAAAAAAATGATCGAAAACGGGACCTAACGCATTTTAAACAAATTGAAAGAGCGGTGATAGAGTGTTCGTGAAAGGGGATTGAAAGCCATAATGAAGTTCGTTTAACTAGAAAATCGACGTTAGTTACATTGAAAGCTATGAGCAAAGCAACGACGAGAAGTTCCACAGCCAGCCTTTCCTTCTAAGCGTCCTTCTTTTTTATTTTCGTTTCTTGCTGATAGTCTAGCTAGGCGTTATAGAAATGAAGCGTCGAACACGTATGTATGAGAGAAACAAAACACGAGTTCATTTTAGAGCTTCGAAATTGTAGAGCCCTGGTACAACGTACAATTATCGATTACTTTTTCGAAGAGACGTATCAGCTTTTGTAAACAATGCATTTGATCGTCGGTTTGGTGTAACTGGTAGCTCATCCACGCATACGAACACCACTATCATGCAGGAGAAAATTTCCCCTATCTGATGGTAGTGTTAGTATACGTGAGCGAACTACCAGTTACGCCAAAACGACGATCAAATGCATTGTTTACAAAGCTGATACATCTCTCGAAAAAGTAATCGAGAATTATTAATGTGCGTCAATGTTTCAGTAGTTGGTATCCATAAGCGTGAATTTTTTTCTCGTCTCAGTTCAGTGATCAATTTCCGGTGTTGAGCAATAATCCACAAAGTTGCTATAATGGATTCACCTTCAATGTAAATTTTCAACAGTTGTTTATTCTATGCCATATGCTCAACATGCATTTCGTTTAGTGGTGTCTCAAAATTAATTTTAGTAAAGATAATAGATCACACAAGCACATCAAACTATTTTTACAACCAGATCCATTAATTACAAGTCTGCGAAAAAGACCGAAGAAAAATTCAGCCCAATTAATAAAAAAAATAGCGAGGTATTGGCATTATTACAACCACCGGATTCATTTGACAAATAGTGATAATTAAGGACAACTGATTTCTAAATACTTCAACTTAAGAGATAGTTTAATCTTTAAACCATTACTGCTTCTGCAATTTAAAAAGTTTAACGAATTAAAATTATACATAACTGACAGGTTTCCTTATTAGTAGAGATACTTGTAACGGTTTACAAAAGGTGAAATTAAAAAAAATCATCGAATATCATGTCTTCAGTTTTCTGGTATATGTTAGACAATGACATGAGCTAGCAAAAGAGACAAAGTCCAGCTGCCCTTAGCTGCCCCTACGAGAATCCCACCCACCTAAAATAGAGGCAAAATATCATGTTTTTCGAGAATATTTCACTAAAACCACTTTAAATTCCACAAATAGTGCAATGAAAATTTGCATCTAGTTTGTTTTCGTTGGAATAAATGCAGAAACCAGAGCAAACATATGAAAATATACAAAAAAGTTAAGAAATACGAATTTTGACATCATATTTTTCAATATACCCTATATCTCCGAAACTAAAGGTTATGGAAGTTTTATGTCTTCTGCAACTTTCCTTCATTTTAATAGATAAAAAACTTTGTTGAAAACACTATACGTCTAGGATGCTTTATTCAAAAGTTAGATTCGCGCGCCATCTCTACGACCAAGTTGCGAACTAATTAATTTATTCAGAAGAAGCGCTTAACTAATACAAACAACTTTACCCAAGACAGTATTCTGATTGGATGCTTTGTTCAAAAGTTATTAATTTTTTCCGAGAAAATCACTGATCTGCCCCAGTGTGTGTCGTCTTGACGGTAACCGGTGAGACGCTGGAAGAAGTGGAAATGCTGGCGGCTGAGGCGATAGATACGATTGGTAACTGGATGCAAGGAGCGAAGCTGCAGATAGTGCAGCGGGCAGAAATCACCGTTGGAGAGCACACCATTGTTTCGAAGCGCGTGCTGAAGTATCTGGGAGTGATGATCGACGACCGGCTAAACTTTAACAGCCACATCGAATATGCTTGCGAGAAGGCGGTGAAGGTCATCAACGCAATAGCCAGAATCATGCCGAACAATTCTGGTCCAAGCAGCAGCAAGAGGCGTCTTCTGGCTAGTGTGTCCTCATCGATACTAAGGTACGGAGGTCCAGCCTGGATTGAAGCGCTGAAAACGAAGCAGAACCAAAGGAAATTGAGCAGTACGTTCCGGCTCATGGCCATGCGAGTCATGTGTGCGTACAGAAACATTTCGATGGAGGCAGTATGCGTTATCGCTGGTATGATCCCAATCGGCATCACCCTGGCGGAGGACTACGAGTGCTATATGACGAGAGAAACCAGAGGAGTACGAAAAATGGTGAGAACAGTGTCGATGGCTAAGTGGCAGCAGGAGTGGGATGCAGCAGAGAACGGTAGATGGACACACAGGCTAATACCGATTCTTTCGACCTGGGTGAACAGGAAGCATGAAGAAGTCAACTTCCACTTGAAGAAGTTCCTGTCTGGTCATGGCTGCTTCAGGAAGTACCTGCATCGGTTCGGACACACAACGTCACCCTTCTGTCCGGAGTGTGGGAATGTGGAAGAATCACCAGAGCACGTGGTCTTCGAATGTCCTAGATTTGATGCTGTGCGAGAGGAGATGCTCGCCCTTAACACGGAGAATGTCGTCGAAGAAATGTGTCGAGAGGAGGGCACTTTTAACGCCGTCAGCAGAGCAGTAACGCAGATCATGTCAGCGCTGCAGCGAAAATGGCGAGAGGACCAACTAGAAAGTAGCAATGTGTTCATAC